ATTTGGAAGCCAGAGTTTCTGAAGACCTAAAAGAGCGTTGTACAGACCATGTCCTTATGGACGCTTCAATACTAATAACCATAAATAAATGCGAGACAGGGGAACGTTGTAAACGACGCACAAATGTAAAGGCATGATTAAGCGGTGTAACGTTTGGCATAACCGTCGTAAGTTGAAGTGCATTACTGAGACCCACGTTCCAACTCATAAAAACCCTACTCGGCCTCACTGCTAATCAATGGGCGCTATGATCGCGATTTTGCCTTAGCAGACCAACTTTGCCTAAACGCCTTCACCCGCGATTTCCACCTGGGCTGCGTCGTTGTCGGCAGTTGCATTGACTGTGACTATTCGTTCGGCAGATTGCGTTGCGTCTTCGTGTTTCCCGAACCGTTGCCGTACATGCGGGTAGGCTGACTTCAATGGAGGCCTTCACGCTTTGCAGGCACCTCGGCCAGTGGGCTTGGAGAAAGTACTGGGGCATGACAGAGGGACATGGGGGTGAAGCCGATCCTGTGGGAGTTTTCCTCATGACGAATCGATAAATTCCTCACTGTACGTTGTCTGTCGCATTTTGACAGTGACGATGAGCTAAAGTCATGGCTTAGAAGACCACCAGCTGACTGATCTGCGGACCGCGAGTCACACCGCGGTGGCTCTATCTTAATGTTTCTTCTTGATCATCTCACTTATATGTGTGGTCTGATTCCACGCGTAGAACGCGCTAGACAATTATGAGATTTTTTAAGACCGTGCAGTGTCCATTCATATAGCATCGTAGCTGTCTATTTAACACTGCTCCTCATGAAATGTACAACGTATTCCGCATCCATTGCATAATTTTATGGACACAATATAGCCTCTTTTTAAAGGCTCAGAAGAATATCTGATTATCCTTACGCGGAACGAATGCACCTAGATGCTAATGCAACGGCTAATCAGGATCCAAATTATTCGGGAAATAGAAAATAGAGACTCACGTCAACTTCATATTTTATGCTTAAAGAAAGAGTATAATTAAGTTTTAAAAAACTTAATTATACTCTTTCTTTAAGCATAAAATATGAAGTTGACGTGATTCTCTACCAAACAAGTAAATGAAAGCATATTTTTGGGCATGTTTTTCATAAAATATATTTGCATTTATAAGACCACGGAAAATAGATGTGAAAAATGCACGCTGCTTAAGTAGTCTTTTTGACCGATTACAGTTTCTATAGGAGATTGAAAAGCAGTGCATTCAAAATCCGACATCCTGCCAAATCCGAAATACTATAAGACTACGCCCTATTATAATCGATATAACAACCCAACCTGAGTAGCCCATCCTAGTCGAAAACGCATTTCAGAATTTTGGCCAACATTTCATGAGATCAGTTACTCATTGTAGGTTAAAAACCGGAAAATAACCCGCCCTACTCAAGACTGAAGGCTAGACTATCTTCAACGGGAGTTTTATAGCACTCTCATTGATGTGAAACGTAGAGACTCTCTGCGAAACCTGGTGCGCCTGGAGTTGGGAACCTGCATAAAGAACGGCAATCTTCATCAGCCAGCTCGCCAACATCCACCTCCGGTCACTTTGACCCTTTCTTGTCATTAAACGGGGTGGATAGGCAAACAGCTGCTACCAAGGAGATCTATAGTTTGCCCATATCGTCATCTGGCGACTGAGAGGCTGAAACGGGATGTTTGGGGGTGAGGTGGTTGTTTTCTGCACAGATCCATCGTCGAGGGAGTCAGTCAGTGTTGTAGCTAGCTTGGCCGTGACTACCAAGACGGTTGAAACAGATGAGGGTGAACATTCTTCTGCCCTGGATGCAGACTCAGAGAGTGTGAAGATATTAGGGGAAATTCTCCTTCACATGGCAATTACTGGGCGCAGATGCTAATACTGATGACGAATTTCTCCCCGCGAAGTGGGAGCTTCATTAAGAGGAAATTTGCATATTTGATCACGTCAGAGAAGATGAAACAGCTTTAAGACGCGATCTCTTCTACCGTTGAAGACGGTTTCAACATCTTGACTCTCGTCTTGAACTGCAGAAGAGGGTTAACTTACATCAATCTCATTTATATGTTTTTATTGAGCACGGCGATCAGTATGCTGTAAAGATTCAGTTCTCGGACGGTCAGATCGGCCTTTCCTCATAACCGCTTGGTCGTTGGATTAATTAAAGGGAACAGACATCCCGAGTCGTCACTTGAGCGAGTTTATTTCAAGGCCGCAGGTTGTTGTTGCAAACAACTTCAACGACGCGTTTAAAGCATTTTTTGACCTCTTTCTTCCAACATAAAGCTGATAAGCATGATTTATCTTAAATGGACTGCTCGAACATTCCAGGCGACTATTGAGTTTCACTATGGGTCGCGATCTTGACTTAGCAGGAGGACGAAATGAACAAGTACAGCGACCTACGGTATTGCTGTCTCTTTCCCCGCAAGAATTTGAAATTTAGGAGACTGACTTGCAACAAGACCGTTTCCCACGCATGTCCAAACACGACCGTCTCCTGACAATGGTCTGAATCAGATTCCAGATTCGTACAGCTTCACTGGAAAGGGAAAAGTCTGGACCATCCTCACCTGGCTCGATCTGTCCGTCAAGCGTGTTACCTGATTGCGACCGCTGTTCAGAACATATCTACGTGAAGCCATAACCGCAGTCGGGAAGCAAGACGGTGTCCGGCTTGAGTTAATTCCGTGCACGTAGGGTCAGTTTGACGACATGCCCCTGTTTGAAGTTTTACCCCGTAGGCGAATCTCTTATACCTAACGAAATTAACTAATCCAGTCTTTGCATGAATTTTGCAATGACTTTGCACTTTACGCGTACAGTATGTGACCTAACTCATGAAACATTATGTCGGGACATACGAAGCGTTGTGCCTTTGCGTGGTCGGGTAGCCCGTCCTGGAAACTCTCTTCGCTAAGGAATTTCATCAGGCCAAATTGGTAAGGAATTGAGCCCAAATCTACGTTACCTTATACTTGGATATTTTTCTGCGTTACTAAATGTCATAACTTAAGTTTATGCATCCATACAAACTTTCTTTTTCATTAGAGAGTAATAAAAATTTTAGAATCTTGCCAAACAAAACTTGTCGCACTTGAAAATCGATTTTTTCTCTCACAAAAGTCAGATAGAGCAGGACGCGAGCATGCATGTTATCTTAGGAACCGCAAGCGGTTTTCTTCATTTCCAAAAATCTTGTTTGCAAATATGTAGGGTTTCATGCCCTAAAAAGCAATAATAACGCCTAACGCAACTTCCTAAATGGCTCTCATATTTTGCTGACTGATGATGAAGGCACATGAATGATCAAGAAACGGCTTCCTTTCTAGCCTATCCCATGTACGAATGACCGATTATATTTATACTAACGGACCGCAACTGTTCAAGACGGATGAAGTCAGCTTTTGACGTTTTTGAACTCTGATTCTACTCGCTCATTTTTTCCCGTGAAAATTATTACCCGCTTATACAAAGGGGTTGGAAGTAGTATTTTCAACCTCCTTCGTCAGACGGCGGCACTCTAACTATGCTAAAAAAATATGAGACTCAAGCGAGTGTCCTTTGATCATCGACCACTGCTTCAAACGTTCTACCACTTTTGACTGCGATCGCGACAGTTAGATTTCACACAGAAGATGAGTTCATGAATTTTTCCCAATTCTAAGCTAAAAAGTGGACGATTTCATTATGCTCTATGATATCCATCTTGACTCATCGGAGGCGTTCGTATAGTGGCGGATACGCAATAGTTCAGAAGTGTCACTGAAAAACGTAAGGGTGAGATTGGTTGAGGATGGAAGTTAGGCTAGATACGAAAGTCTCGGGCTCTGGGCCTTTTGCGGCAATACTTCTCAAGTGAGAAGATTTCTTCATCAGGAGACCTCTTGCGAGGTCCCTGGGGTAGGAACCCCCGCGGCAGGGCAGAATTTCTTCCTCGCCGTTTTAAATCGGGATATATCGGGGAATGCCGTCGCCATGGAAACAAGTAATTCCTTTCCTTCTACATCTCTGTCTCTTAATCCACTAAAATAGGGGAATGAGTCTGATATCGGGTAAAATGCCTAAACTTATGTTGGGGTTGTTTTCCCCGAACCTTTCATAGACCGACCTAACGAATAAAAACGCATGCTTCTCAAAATGGCCACAATATCGGTTTTCCCTTTGAGGAATCTTTGTCGAGTAATTCAACGGCCCGCATAGAGTCCACCCGTAAGCCCTTCCTACTTGCAGCCGGTACTGAAACCCCCTACGCTATAACTCATCTTCTTACGTTGACGTCGATGTCCTGCAGATGGCTACCGTCAAATCACAGGACACGTTTATTTAAAGCAAAAGCACAATTTTTAAATAAAAACGACAATAGACCTCGAGACAAAAGAAAACCGATCGCGCTGAAGGACTGGGTTGTATAATAGTTTCTACCACAGTGGACTTCGGTGGGAGACAAAAGGAGCTTGGGGGCTTCGGATCAGCAAAGGCAGGTAAGTGGGGTTACTAGAGTCCCCGAAAGGGAACAACTGAAGAGAAGACATGTCGTGGCTAAGGGTGGCTGTTGAATGAGTGGACTTACTTAGAAAAATAAATTGCTTCTTGACTGAACATATGTTCTTAAATACCACCAAGCATGAAGAGATTGGATGGCGCTAACACACCCATGTGGTTGGTGGGAGTGAGGTGGGCGTTACGACGGGGAGGGGGCCCTGGGGTCGATGAGTGCTAACTCGATTTAAACACCGTGGAGGTGGGGAAAGCATCCGCCTCGACTATAGCTTAGGGGCAGTCAGCGGGATGACTGAGGTGAACACTGCTCTGAATGGACTATTTGTTTATACGTGCCTGTGTATATGCATATACATATATACTAGCTTTGAATACAAGATTTGGGGTGGGAAAGCCACACGCCTGACCCCTTGAACCACATCAAATTAAAACCGGAAGCCGAGGGAGGGAGGCGACATCTTGGAGGGGGGGGGAGGGGGGGAGTCTAAGCACTGCAGTCTGGACAAACGACCGCACCATCTTCCACTAAGAAACCACGACCAACGAGACTGCACTGGCATTTGTTACAGTTGAAGCATTCCGAGTGCCAATTCTTGTCTTCAAAAGTAATGAATTTGCAGCCACCGAAGCCTAAGAGAAAATTGGAGAGGAAGAACAAATAAAAGTGGTCAGCCTCTTTTTAAATCAAATGCCATCACGTTGTTAATAGTTGAAAGACAGTCGAATGAATAGGCAACGGTAAAAGCCGTTTTACAGTGTTTATCACCTAGCAGGACTAACAAGCAATTAGAAAAGAGGGAACTCTTCTTCCACCTTTCTATATATGGAATTCTAAGTCCCACAACTCGTCGGTGCATTAATAACAGATTATACAATAAGTATCAAGTAGTCGGTGATAGATCACACGGTCCGCGTCATACGATAGTGATTATTCATGCATGAAGGCAAAATTTCGAGTTACAGGTGTATGCATAATTGAAGAAGAAGAAGAAGAAAAAGAAAAAGAAGGAGAAGGGGTGGAGTCGAGCACCGGAACATTATGTTCATTGTACTGAGCGCCCGAACTCGTGCAGGAGTCCATCGTTAGAGATAGTAGCAACAATAGAACAAATGACAGTTATAGAGCGTGTTAGCCAATCGTTGATCGACGGCGCAAGACCGGAGGTGACCGCGCAGGGTTCTGTATGCCGGCGCCAGATCGATAAATCGATTGACAGAGTTCTCATCCGAGGCCCAGGCCTCCATCGATTCCTGGCCTACTTTGTTGCCGGCGTGGGCAATTATTTTGGTGGCTTCGAAGTTAAACTCATGACTCAGTTCGTAGGTGTGCGTCACCTCTTCGCACAGCCTCGTCGTTCAGCCTGGCCTGTGCAGTTACGAGGACAGTTTTGGCATGACATGCGATACATCACTGCAGATTGCTCTTCAGGTTTTAACCGGCCCATAGTGGTTTTAGGGCGGTGTGCAATTCCAAAACAACTCTGCAACAATTCGCTCGGTTGCTTCTGAAACGTCCTTAATGTATAGCATAGAAAGCCATATCGTTGATGGTGCTGATGTTTGAGTACTCTGGGGGCGATCGCGTCGGCAGCGACTTATGAATGCCCTCGAAAAGCCATTTTTGAGATAACGTGCCTCACGTGCTCATTCCTCCGGTCAGTGATTGGCTTACATGCCTTATAAATGTCGCTCGTTCTGTTGCTGCTACCGTTTCTGACAATGGGCTCCCGCAGGAGTTCAGAAGCCTAGGACCATAAACAAAATGTTCCGGTGCTCGACCTCTCTTCTGCTTCTTCTTCTTCTTCTTCTTCTTCTTCTTCTTCTTCTTCTTCATCGCTTAGAACGATTCATTTTAAGTAACTTAAGAACCTGAATGAGGTAGCTGCCAGTTTCAATAAAATGCTGGAGCATGACAAGGGTGAGGTTAGCCGAATATTTTAGACCTGATAGATGTGTAAATGAAAACTCGCTTCTATGAGGCATAAATCAACAATAAAAGCAGAGGTCGTTTTACGAGCTAAGAGACAGACATATTCTGCAATGACGGCACTGCTAATAGCAGCAATTCCCTTCCAGATTACTTAAATTATATACCGGGTTCTTGATCTGATACGCCACAAATTTTGATAGTAGGATAGGACTGTGTAAGTATCATGTAATTTTTTACATAAATTCTTAATGACTTCAGGAAAATACCGAGGGAGGAATTAATGCCAAGTAAGGACGCCAGATTACATCAAGCAGTCGTAGGCATTGACTAACCGTCAGTAAACCTTCGATTTGCTATGCAAACAAACACGTCAGCAGGCATAATGTTCACTGTGTAGACGCATGCAAATCAGACCAGGTCCTAGCATTCGGTACTGACACATCTCCCCACTGAACTAGGCCAAATCTACTGCGTCGCATTTCTATCCATCCAAAAGCATACACTTTTTGGCAGAAACTATGTAACTTGTAATTCGGGTCGGATAGGGGACTATGGATCTCTTCCAACACTACTTACAAAGACAATGGGGACTGGAATTCGTTGTTTTGAATTGCTAGTCGCGATCCGCCAGCTACACACAAGCCCCAGAGTTTGGGTTACTCTCGACGTTTGACCCTGCGACCTGTTGTTTAGAAATCCAACACCCTGGGCATTGAGCCACGGCCTTGGCGTCTTGTGGGTCGCGATCAGATAGACTAGCAACGGTGGAAGGGTGTGTTACAGGACATACGCGTCCCGTTGTACTTTGGGGCACAATCTCAAGCTCCGCCAGGGCTGGACACTCCAGTTTCCCCTGTCATTTTCGGTAAGGCTATTATGTCTATATTACTAACCCTCGCGGGGCTGCTGACAGGGCTTGGGACTGTGATCTGTGGCACTAGACAGGACGAGTGTGTCTTTTAACGCAATCGGTGAGCCCGCATCTACCGGTGTCTACCACTACCAGCAACGCTACCTGCCATGGGCCTATTCCTAATACTAAACCAATAGTAGATGGGCTAACTCATAAAATGTCAATAGAAATTCCGAAATACGTTTTCATTTCAAAAGGATTAATAAATTAGGATCGTAAAGTTGATTATCGTGCAGCATAAGTCTATAATTTATCGGTTACCTCAGGTTGTCGGCTTTCGAACGAAAGTCTTCCCGGCTGCATGCAAACACTACGCGCTATAAAAAATGACTACTAATGCAGCATGCAGTTTTCTCATTCATTTTTGATGCTGTTAAAAATTCAAATATATTTCATAAGAAACATGTACAAAAATATCCAATCTTTTGCTCATTCGGTAGAATATTACTTCTTCCTCCAGTTTCATACTCAAAGGAAGGGTCTTATCCGGTATTCAGAAACTTTTCCGATTCCCGAATAATTTTGAACCCGAGATGCCGTTACATTTGCGTTCGGGGTTCCCAAACTACAAACCGCATATTTTCTGCGTACGGAAAACCATACATTTCTCTATAGTATTAAGATGAGACTATATGGAGTTCATGAAATTTAGCAGTGGATATGAGCCATATTGTTAAATTTACCAGCCATATTGGCAAATGCAAAGACATGAGGTTTTATGAACGGCCATTTCACGGTATTAAAATTCCCATAATTAGAAACTTTTTATAAGCAAATTATACCCTCCCTATGAGTGTAAAATTGGCAGAAGACGTCATTTTCTACCGAATTTGCAGGGGAGTGAATATTTTCATGCATGTTTGTCACTAAATATATTTGAATTTATAGGGGTACCGAAAATCATTGAGAAAAATGCATGCCACTGAAGTAGTCATTTTTTGCAGGATATAGTTTTTGCACGCAGATGGAAAGAATTTCGTTCGAAGGCTGGCATCCTGATGTAACTGAATTATCATAGACCTATGCTGCATGATGATCAGTTCTACAATTTTATTTTTTTAATCTTTTCGAAACGGAAACGCATTTCGGAATTTCGGTTGACATTTCATGAGTTAGCCCACCCGCTGTAGTGGTAATCTTGGTCGTTCTAACACGAACCCTGGGCTTTAGGGCAAGGCCTTCCGTAATAGGGTTTCATATGCTCCTGTCTAACCGGAATTTTAACCAAAATTTAAGGTCTAATGCTGGAATTCAACAGTCGTGTAATTAATCCACCTGTTTTAATAGACAGCTCAGGTAAAGGTTTTTTCAGAATGTACCAAAACGCTTGAAATTTCGGTGGACTACGACCAGGTCCAGTGACCTTAAAGTGAAACTGCGGTTAGTGAAGGGATTGGAGCAAGTTGCGAACTTTAGGCTCACTGGATAATGAATACGTGTATTACTTCCTACAGACAATTCGTTCAGTTTCGAAATCCAGGAGCGATTTTCAGGTGTTTTTAGTTTCATTATTTGTCCTCCTGCGTACCATCCCTGTAATTGTAGACCGTGGCATACCTATTTTGCCAGCAGCTGACGATTATTAGTGTAGAGATGTTGGCATGATCTTCGGTCCACCACGGCAACTTTGACGTGCAATGTTATGTCCTAACTTTCCGTGCTATTTGCATGCAAGAGTGTGGCAGGAACAGGCGATTAGACCGACCGATCGACATCAGCTTGGGCAAGCCAGTAAACAACATATTGTCCGTAGTTGCCTGGATCCGTAGACTTGTTTCCCCGCTCGCAGTTTCCCTCATTTTCAGCCGCCCTCAACGTAGAAGTTGATTTGTCGAATGACATGTGAACAACAGGCAGACCAGCTACTTTGCCAAGCTCTCGACCATCAAACCATTCCTCTAGCTGTCAAAATGCTGACTATTCATCCAACATTGTCTCTCCGTTACTGACTTGGAACAAAAACCAACCCATATACGTGCATAAGGTCCCCAATTAGCAGGAGAGAAATAAGGATGGTATAAACGATCTGTTTCATTTCTTCAAAAAGTGGCAGGAGATTCTTCCCATCCACATAAATGATAGTCCAATTAACCGGATCTTATCGTATGTAATATATATGTGTATATCATGGGATGAGGGTTCACTGATCAAGTTAAGGGGCGTGATTGTTCCGTCGCGCCTAGGGATTCAATCTAGGTCCCTAACAGGCAGTCGTATAACGACTAGTAATCGACAGCTCAGTGAACAGAAGAGCAGAGGCAGAAGACAGAAACCCAAATACGGCCTAGTCCATTGAGGACACACTCGCACCTGTACTACAACCCGAGCCTGACGAAGGTGCGATCGTCACTACAGCCGCGTCCTCCAATTATCCGGCGGGTGTGAAAACGAACGATCGCAGTAACGCTAACGGACCCGATGAGGGTGTAATAGTCACTGCCACTCATGCGGCAGGTGAGAACTCAAGTGGCTGCGGGGTGGTGAAGGAGATTACCAGCAGAGGAAGAGAGCTAAGATTAATACAAGCACGTGCGGTGACAGCTAGCGTCCGAACGACGGCTCCCGAATAGACGTAAACCCGTTGTAACAAGATCGTCACCGCCTATAAATACTGTGAGGCGAGGTACAACACTCACTTCCGATGATGAAAGCTTGTTTGCTTTTGAAACGTCAGGACAATATAACTATGGTTCTCGAGATCGCCTCTTCATGTCATGTATGTAGATGATAGACGTGCTGTCTCATGAAATGTTAACCGAAATTCTGGAAGGTGTTTCCCACTAAAAAGAATACTTAAGCAAGGCCGTAATACCAATTGTCATGCAGCATCGTTTCATAATAATTCCATTACTACAGGACGCTGGCTTTTGAACGAACCTCTTTTCGGCTGCCTGCTAAACTGCACTTTGTAAAAATTGGCGTCCTGATTAACATGAATGTTTCTCGTTGATATTCGATGTCCTTATAAATTCAAATTTATTTCATAGAAGGCATGCATAAAAATATTCATCCCTTTGCTCATCGGGTAAGGAATCATATCTTTAACTTCTTACTTAAGATAAGGACATAATCGGTTTTAAAAGGTCCTTAATTAGGATATTTTTAGGACCGTATAATACCCGTTCACAAAACACCATGTCTCTGCATTTACTAATGTTGCTTGCAAAATTTACAATATACTCAAATATACGGATACATTTTGTAAATTCCTATACGGTCTCCTCTTAATAACGTAGGCAAATGTGTGATCTTTCGTACGCGGAAAATACAAGTCTTGTGGTTTGGAAAGTATAGCGGCATGATGGTATCAAAAAATTCAGGAATTGGAAAAGTCTATCAAATCTGACTCGTATGCTTCCTTTAAGTATAAAATTTTAAGAAGACGTAATTCTCTACCAAATAAGCAAAAGAATGAATATTTTTAGGCATGGTTTCCGTGCAATATATCTGAATTTATAAAGACATCGAAAATCAACGGGAAATTTTCATGGCACTTAGGTGGCCATTTTTGCCAACTGTGATTTTTGCAGGCTACCAGAGAGAAGTTTGTTTGAAAGCTGGCGTCCTGGAATAACAGAATTATTATTGGGTCATGCTGCACGGTGATTATTATTGCAACCCTGTCTAAGTGTTCTTTTTGAACGGAAAACGCATCTCAGAATTTTTGTCAATATTTCTTGAGTTAGCCCATCTACTGTATACATATATGCGTCAAGAAGAGAGGACAGAGAGTGAGGATAAACTTAATACAGTACTGTTTTGGGCCTATTTTTCCCTGACCAGCAGCTGGGACCAGAAACACAAACATGCGCACAGACGAACCTGGTGCAGTTATTCCACCACGTAGGTCTACCGCTCCTGATTGAATATATACATATGTGTTAGAAGGGTGAAGTTCTTTGGGAAACAACAAAGTTTATTGTGTAAATTTTCAAGGCTGGTTCCCCAGCTCGTCTTCCGACAACGGGCGTACAAAAATAATTAACTTCTAGACCGATTCTGGCAAAAGGATTCTATGATTGGTTAAGATCATCATCTCGGGATTAGTTGAGTCACTTTGAATCTGTCCTTAACGATTTTGTATGTGGCATCTAAATCGATATGCCGGTTGATGCATGCCTCATCTGAGTGCATTGCCTCCAGGAATTGGCGGCCTTTCCTTGATGGGCAGGCGCCAACAGCGCGAGTGTTTTCCCATGCAAATTTGTGCCCAGTGTCCAGTGTGTGCATGGCCTCCTGGGAGAGATGGTCGCGTCCCTTCACCGCTAACTGATGCTCACGTATACGGGTTGAGACAGATTTCCCAGTTTGGCCACAATAAACGGCATCACAACTAGAACATGGGATTTTGTAGACAACACCTCTTCTTTCGAGGTAGCCAACCCTGTCCTTAGGGTGTACAAGTTGCGTGCGTAAGGTAGTTGCCGGCTGGTGTTCTAAGTGTATCTGGTAGTTTTTCAATTGTCTTTCGACAAGTTCAGATACATTTTTAACGCATGGGAGAGTTCGCCATATGATTGGTTTTGGTGCCTGAGCGGCCGTAGCATTGGAAATCCCTTTTCCCTTGAGTTGCTGGTGCCCCATGCATTGACGAATAAAGTCATGCGGGTACCCATTTTGGGAGAACAGTTTGTAGAGGTATTTAATTTCTGCTCGATAACTTGTTTCATCAGAGCCGTGAGTTTTGGCTCGATTCAGAAGGCTGTAGACTGTACTCTGTTTGTGAGAGACAGGGTGGTTACTCTCAAAGTGTAGGATGACCTCTGAATACGCCTCTTTGCGATAAACTGATGTCTGAAGTGATCCATCGGTTTTTCGGCGTACCAGGACATCCAGGAATGGGAGTTGTCCATAGACCTCTGTTTCGAAAGTAAATGTAAGTCCTGGAAATATGGAGTTAATATGGGTATGGAGCAGATTCAATTAACCTTTCTTGACGATGACAAAAGTGCCAAAGTTTTGGGTTGACTGTGGGAAGCGCTGTGCTCTCTATTTTATGTAGTACTGCCTCTGCCAGGAAACCGGATATGGGTGAACCCATAGAAGTTAATTGAAGTTAAATAGAAGTTAATTGTTTTTGCACTCCCGTTGTCTGAAGACGAGCTGGGGAATAATTCTCAAAAATTTACACAATCACCTTTGCTGTTTCCCAAAGAACTTCACCTTTATAATTATATTTTTTTGGGATGCCTGTTTTTCAACATATATGTGTGCATAAAGACATTGTCTTCGGCTATTCATATTAGCCGGGGTTATGGTTGACTTAATGAAGGCAAAATAAGCCAGAAAAACCTTGCACAATTCTGACCGCATCACTTTCGCAATCTCCTCAGCTATCCCAACACTGCCGAGCTCGGCCTGAGATATGCTTGCTCACTCATGACTTCTGCCACTCAGTCGAATCTTGTTTGTCTCACAGAGCCAGTGGATCAGTACACTTCCACCGCTGAATGAATAAATATCCATATGCTGCGAGAGAGAGAATGCCAAGCGGTGAGGCGCTGATAAACTTCATTTCGGTGAATTACTTGTGGCGCGTCTGACAGATCTCTAAGCCGGTTATGTGCGCATGTCTTTGTGTTTTTGGTTTCAGAAGATGGTCATGGTTATGACCGACTGAATGAGGACGGAAGAAGCCTGAGATGATTCTGCGCCAATCTGCTCACATTTCTGCCAACATCTCTTCTCCTGTTATCGCAGATTGACCAAATTTGTCTGATTGTGAGTTTTGAAACACTGTCCGGGCTTGTCTCCTTCGGCGGCCAACAGATTGGTGTGCACCTATTCTTGTTTGCGTATACTTGTATAATTCAAAAATACTCTGATATACTAGACTTTTTGAGCACTAGTAGAAAGGTTGAATATCGTTTTAGATGATATAAGAGCAACGCTGCTTTTTCTGTTCTTCCATAAAAAGTGTGGTTGAGGATCACCCAATATCATTGCAAAAATATTTATCTTGTTCAGGAGTGACTTCTTCGATAGAGCCTGAAAAGTATCGATGGAGACAAGGAGCTCGATCACTGTAAAGGCACGCCTTTTATCGATCAGCCATAGACACATGTGACATCGCCGTGAGTTTCAGCCCACACTGTACGCCTATTCCGACCTCTGTTGATCCAACAGGAGTCCTTAACTGAGCCTTCACACGATTCCCTGCCCTCGAAGAACTGTATGTTCCTCTATCTCAACCCCATTTCCATCTGCCTCTTGAGACCGCGCGCGCCGCATTCTAAGAGTGATTTTGAGATCAAAAGACTCACCGCTGATGGGTTTTGAACAGTGATTGCATCTCTTTGCGAAAAGTTCCGAGTAGCAGTCAGCACAGTAGATTGCATTGTCCTTGGAGGTGAATTTCTGTCCTGCCAGTTGTCCGCCACACTTGGCGCAGAGGAAACATTCCTTGTGCCAGGGCTGGCCCTTGTACGTGATGCCTCCCTTGTTAATCACCTGGCGGATGAAAATAGTGAGTAGTATCATCCGAGCAAGAAGGTGGCGCAGAAGAATGGGAAGTTTGACTGGTGCAAGACTGGTTCTAAATATTAGGGATGTTGGGCATCATGGGGACAGTGGTGAAATGAGCGAACGTTCCCTAGCACGGGGGTATGTTTTTTATCCACTGATAAAGGCCCGCAGAATTAAGTCTGCCTCGGACGTGAATAGTAGTCGAAGTCTAGCCAGGCAACTTCCCTTCGGGCTTACTTAATAACACTGCGCGGGCGCCCACAAGCAAGCAAGAGACGGTGTCGTCGATAGAAAGGGTAACCAGTAACAAACCTAACAATATGTCTACTTCATGGCATGATATAGGTCTTCTGTCCCGTCAGTGGTGCAGATTAGCCTATATGGATCCGCAAAATCCTCACTGGCAACATGAACTCTACGATCGACACGTTATTTGACACACTGCAAGCTCAAACAGGGCCACGACAGCTCGTTAACCTCAGTCAACGACGTCCGGTGCAGGCTTCCCGGATTGGGCGTAACGTCAGCGAATTGCGCGCACGAATGGGCTTGAAATGAGGCACACTTGCGCAGCATCTACCGCCCTCTTGCCCGCCCCGATCGTCTGAGTTCAACAGCAAAACAGGGTCGGAACAATCGGCGACGGGTTAGAGCTCAGGGTCTGACACAGCTAAGCGACCACTCTAAGCGTGCCACTCACGACATGGTCCCGTTACGGACTACGATATGAGCTGACTAGAAGAAGCCATTGCAGACTGAGCCCCGATCCCGAAAAGGACCAAGTAATGTAAGTTGGCACGACTGATATCGCGTTGTTGTGTATTCAGGCGCGTTTGATTCATAATAGTAGGCAATGTGCTCATCTGTCGTGGAAATGGATTTCCCAAGGTCGGTCTCATTTTCTCAGTTCTCCGCCCTGCACCAACACCAACAACACCATTTTTCCAGAAGTGGCATTACAAAAGACTTTTGTGTACAGTGTCTAATTCCTGAGGAAATTAATGAGCGAATGTGGTTTATTTCCTTCAGATCGAAGCTTTTCCAGACCCGGTCCGAAATACTAATATCAACTTCCGGACCGAGCCGGAAAATTGGTTTATTCTGAAGGAATGACGGCGGGACTGACTTATATCGACGTCTAAACAGTACTCGGAAATAGGAACGTTTCTCTCAACTAATAAAGGTGGACCTACGCATAACTCTAGAAAGGACAAAATATTCACGTGTCCTAACCCCATCAATAATTCCAGTATAAAACTAAACCGTTGCCCTAATCTTCACCCTAACCCAATCCCAATCCTCACGTCTACAGTTACCACTAATGCCTAACGTAAACCTTGGTTTTGTTTTACATCGCCGCTGACTTTAAATTTAACGTTAAACCCAGTCCTTAACTCAACCCTAGCCCTCACCTTAAACCTAACCTTAATTTCACTAGAAGTTGATACAAAGAAGCTACAATGGTAGAGGGACGCTCACCGATCAGAACGAACGGAACTCACTCGTGCCGTTGTGTCTTACGGGCTCTCTCTCGAGCCCAACCAGCAGCCACACAGCGGCGCATGATATAGGCAGAATGGTATTACCGCCAAAGTCTGCCTTGTATTTGTTGGTAATACCATTCTGTCAAATAATATTCCTCACTAACTCTATTCCATGCGGAGAAGGTAAGGATAGTTTGTCGTCTCACACAACGCACAGCGGCGCATGATATAGGCAGAGTGGTATTACCGACAAAGACAAGCGAGACTGGAATGGGCATTTCTGGCTTATTACCCGTTGTACGCCAGTCATACCCAACCCCGAAGTGTGGAACACCCGAGGCTCGAACTCGCGACCTGTCAGTTAGAAGTCCAACGACCCTTACCACTGAGCCACAGACTCGTTGTCTTGTGGTTTTCGATCGGGAATATACAGTGGTAAATGGGCGCTCACCGATCGTTCTTACGGAACACAGTCGTTCCGTTGTGCCTTATGAGATTTCTCTCGAGCCCAACCAGCAGACACACATCAGCGCATACAGGCGGCTCCTGTTCTCATATCCGGATTTGCTTAGCGTTCGCGCACTAATTTTACCCGGAAATTAAACAAGGCGGCATGGAAACTGGAGAACACAGGGACCTCCGGTGGATGCCCCGATGTGCAGAGTCCCCCGCGCTAGTGGCACAAGGTCGGCGAAACTGGTGTGTCTGGGTTACTAGTATGATTCATCCTTCAATCTTTATGAAACACGCTCTAGTCGGCAAGGCTTTACAGAGTGCAAAAATAGTTGTGTAAAGAGTGAGACAAGCAGAAGGAAGGAGTCATTAAAGGTAAATACTTTTAATGTTCTTCACTTCAATTATCTGATCTCAGCCAGTTGAAACAGGATTGAAAACCGGTCCGCAATGGTGACTAGGAGGAAACCAGTCGTCTGCTTTACTTCTCATTTGTGCTATGTTGATTTAGAAGTGACATGGTTTGTGTTTCCTGCATCTTCCACTTCAGCGCGGGAAAGAGGAAATCCATGTCGACTTTACCTAATTTATTAGTTACCGACGTTCTCCCTCCGATAATCTGACTGTCGCTATGGTGCCCGCCTATTCCCTCGTCTTTACTCCCTTCATGTAATGCGCCAGTCAGGCTATGCCGACAATATAAAAATCACAACTTCCAATTACTGATTAATTCTTCTAAACAGTCTCAGTCATAGATATCTGTGCTAATTACCCGGTAATCTAATCTTGCAGAATTATCTCCAAGACAGCTGGAGAAGACAGGCCTTAACGACATAAAAGTCTTGTCCTATAAGGGTTGAGCAGTCGCAGGGAGGTTCGGCGTCCCTCTGTTTTTCATGAAAATCTCCTAACATCCCCCTTGCTTGTAGTTTGTTTACCTGAGACAGTCATTTGGCTCTCTGAAAGACTTTGTAGAGTTCAAAGGGATGTGAGATGTTGAGAATTTTAACTCGAAGGAAAACACAGTTCAAGTGTCCCATCAGGTTGCATTCTGTTGGTCAACTGACTGAATGAGCGACTGAGTTTCGGCTTGCACATTTGAAAATTGAATACATTGTACTCTATAGGACGGAGTATTATAATTCTGGGAAATTTAGCAGGGGGAATCTTCCCTGTCAGCAGTGACACTCCTACCATTAATATTTTACTGCCGATTCCAGAAGTTAGAGTCAGATAAAAAATGGACAGAGGTCTCCTCTTTTTGACCCCAAAAGTTCTTCACAACTGAAGAAACACTTGGCTAATTGGAACCAAAGGTAGAGGCTCGTGTCAGCGACATCCTCCTATCTGCACTCAGTCTGCCCTAGGAATTTTGATGCCGGGTTCATAATTCCACATACTGCGGTCCTATTGCAAACTTTTCTGTGTCCGCTGACGCTTAGCCCAATTCGACCTCCCAGCCCACCAGGGGGTGTTGTGAGCAGTGATCTGGCCCGTAATCCTACAATGTGTAGCGTGCCTTATGGCATACGACCGGACACTGAATTCTCGTTCCTCAGGGGCAGGAATTGGGGTTCAGGAGTCCTGCACGACATTTTAAATCCCCCTGGGGCCACCTACAGGAGGTGGGCTAACTCATGAAATGTCAACCGAAATCCCGAAATGCGCTTTCGTTTCGAAAAGATTAATTAAGTAGCGTTTTAAAACTAATCAGTCTGCAGTAAACTTCTGTAATAATTTAGTTACCTCAGGATGCCGGCTTTCGAACGAACGTCCTTCCGGTTGCATACATAAACCATACTTTGTAAAAAATGACTACTTATGTAGCCTGTATTTTTCGCATTGATTTTCGATGGCCCTAAATGTCCAATTATATTTCATGAAAAACATGCATAAAAATATTTGTTCGCTCGCTCATTCGGTAGAAAATTACGTTTTCTTTCAATTTTGTACTCGGAGGGACAAAAGTTGGTTTCAAAAAGTTTCTATTTGTGAGACTTTTAAATACCGTTGTATGGCCGTTCACAAAACGTAATGTCTCTGCATTTACCAATGTGGCTTGTAAAGCTAACAATATGGATCAAATCCAATGCCAAATTTTATGAATTCCATATGGTCTCCTCATAATACCGTAGTGAAATGTATGTTTTTGCACGCAGAAAATATGTGGCTTGTAGTTTTGGATCCATGAATGTAAGTGTGACGGCACAGTGGGTTCGAAATTAGCCGGGAATGGGAAGAGTTTTTGAAAACCGTGTTATGTCCTTCTTTCGAGTATAAAATTGGAAGAAGACGTGATTTGCTACCGAATGAGCGGAAGAATGAATATTTTTATGCATGTTTTCCATGAAATATAATTGGACATTTAGGGGCATCAAAAATCAATGAGAAAATAGCATGCTACATAACTAGTCATTTTTTACAAAGTATGGTTTATGTATGCAGCCGGAGCACGTTCGTTCGAAGACCGGCATCCTGAGGTTACTGAATTATTATAGAATTTTACTGCGGGCTGATTAATTTTACAACCCTACTTAATTAGTCTTTTCGAAACGAACACGATTCCGAAATTTCGGTTGACATTTCTTGAGTTAGCTCACCTACTGTACATTCGAGCTAAGTTGACTGACGGAAGAGGAACCCGTGGAGTATTCTCAAATATGTAGCCTCAATATGAGTTTCCCCAAATAAACTGAGGCTGTGGATCATTACAGAAATTGTATAATCTGATAGCCCCACAGCTGGGTGATGTTACAGTCTCAAACAACCTCTCAGCCTCGGTCAATTACTTCAACCAGCGGAAGTGCTAACGCATGGCATGGATGCGTAATCTTGACCACTAGCACCTACATGGAACCGTATAAGCAGTCGTTGCGAGTTTACACCACATCGGCGGCGGGAATAAACTGGAACCCCAGAAGGAATGCAGGTCTGGATCTGGAAAGAACTACAAAGACTGTCCTGTACCTGCTTACACTTCTCGCACTTCTGGGCAAATTTGTCCTCATAGCAGGCAATGCAGACGATGGCGTCGCCGCGAGGAATGAAACTCTTTGTCCCTATGGGTTGCTTGCACTCGCTGCAGAGGAAACACTCCTCATGCCAGGCCCCGCCTTTGTACTCGTACTTGCGCATGGCTGCCTTGAAGGTCTTGCCGCAGGCATCACAGCGGGCAGCGAACTTCTCATCGTAGCAGTCTGGGCAGTAGATGCCATTATCCTTGGTGGCGAACGGCTTGTCCGACAGGCTCTTCTGGCACTGACTGCACAAGAAACAGGCCTCATGCCAGTGCTTGTCCTGGAAGGAGAGGTCCTGAAGAGAGAGAAGAAAAGTAACTGCGGTTCATGCAGCATCGCCGTGAGCGGAAGCAGGCATTTTCAAACAGGGGTAATCTAACTGGAGGAACGTCTGCTCGAGGGGCACATATACTCGTCGAGCACTCAAGAGGCAAAGTAGCGATACAGAGTCCTGTCATCGTGGCCGCGGCGACTAGGTGCAAACGCCGGAAACCGATATGAGTTGAGTGGATGCGGCCTTTTGATTTAATAGGTAAGTCCGAAATCAAAATGCCTGACAGAGTTTGTCTTATCGGGTTATTTGCTTGTTTATGTCTACCTCGAAGGTTTATGCTTTGGACGAAAAGTTTCGGAAAGTTGTGTATTCAATGAAGAAATTTATTCGATAAATAAAATAACCATACGTCTTGGTCAAGTCAAGTTGAGGAAGCCGTTTAAAATGTGTCGACTAGCATATCGCTCCCCTTTTGATATGACTTCTCGGCGAGATCCTATTTTGTAGCCGCAGTTTTTAGGGTTCAGGGTTAGGGGTAGGGGTTAGGGATTGAGAGTTAGGGGCTGATGTTTAAGGTTAGATTAAGGTTAGGGGATAGGGACTGGAGCTTTTCTACTGCAGGTACGGCAACGAAATGAAATCCGACCGATTTCTCATTACTGACGAACCGACAACAGAGTTCACTTTATTCAAATCGACCTATCTCTTCGTTCTATGATCAACCAACTAAAAAGAGATTTTCAAGTCAACATCCCCGCTGCAATTCTAAAGTGCCACAAAAGTCTCAAAACAGCAGTAAAAACAGTAACATTTTGCGGCTTAGGAAAATATTTTTAGCAAAATCTAGGCCGCATAGAAAAAGTACGCCGGACACCCTCTCCATTCCTAGAATTGTACGAGTCAATAATACTTCTAAGGCGGAGTATTAGCAACCCAGAAATTGGCATACTATACTTAGGTTAAACAACTCCTAAACATCTGACACTCTAACCCTAAACATACATCAGTACGCCGGTTATATCAACTCATTGGGTACATTTGGTGCCTTAGAACGTACAAAACGTTCAGGCCCTTTTTTGATCACAATCCGTGTGCTCAAAGGCCTTCAGAGGCCGGTTTACTTTTTAGTCATGAGTCTCCGACGGCTGAGTTCGGACAGATCGTTGTATGTGAGACAAAACTATGTTAGCCACCCCACATCGGAAGGAAGTCGAATAATATTGATCTAATGCAGAATTCGGTAACGCAGCTGGAATCGAACTTTGACCAGAGTTACTATATGTAGAGAAATATATTTCCAAAGTATTCTGAAGTGTTTAACCACCTAAAAATCCTTTTTCCCGAGTTGCAGCTCATCCGGTTACATTAAAAAATTTTGTCTCCATCTATCCTTTTTGGTTTTTAAGTATTACTGACTTGGGAGTGTTTGCATCAGCATGGTAGGCCATTCACCGGAAATCTCCTCGTGCTATCATTATTGTAAGTTTCAAAACCCACAAAACACTTCTCTTTTTAAAGGCAGTCAACTTAAACGTCTGAAAGTCGCCAGTTGGCAAGGAAACCAATTAATTAAATGGACCCGTTAATCATCTCCTGAATTCTAGGTCGATTAATTACGAAATCCCACTTGGGCAGTCAGCTTACTGTATCAGAATTGGTAGATTCAGTACGTTGCAGTAGGTTGAGTGGGTGGCTAGGCCAAAATGTGATTAAACTCACGGCCCATGTTGAGGCTTCTTAGATCAGGTGATTAAGGCGCCGACTGTACGCAAGTTCTCCTAATGCTGTCGTGCGTTCTTATCCCACCGAGGCCGCAGGGTTTTTCACAATTGTGTCAAGTGAATTTTGGGGAATTTTAGTTGGGGGGATGATTTTGAAAACCGGAAATTGGACTTACCTTGGAGGATGAGGTGATTCTTTCGCCGCAAGCAGCGCACACATTTGTGAAGTTAGCGTCGTAGCATTCGATGCAATAGGGCACCTCCGCGTTGAGGATGTATCGTTGTCCAATCAGGCTTTTTGAGCATTTGCCACACTGGAAGTTCTCATCTTCAGCCATTCTATAAGTATAGTAAATATAAGTATACGTTTAAGGACGGGAATGGACGCGCACACACACCGTTCCACCGCCCCCCGAAGCAAAGACGCTCCTTATTAGTGGCAGAGGTCACGAACAGGCGACCAGGCCCAACTCGGTTAAGCTATGCCAGCAGAGGGGATACGACAGTGAATGAGAGGGTAGACTTATACGAACTTGTTTCGGGTTCATCCAGTCTTCACTCGACCAATCACATGTCTTACCAAAACAGAAAAGTATAAGTACGAATGTCATATACTTTACATAATTTGTGTTGTGCTTTGATGGGATCCCGAGGGGTCTTTACTAAAAAAATATTATTATATTTGGACACCAGGGAGATTCAGTCGAATTTAACTAACTGCTTTAACAGTTCGGAGTTCAAAAATGCTCCTTCAAATAGTGGGGGCTGGCATCGCCTCTCTACGGGAAAATCAACGCTTTTAAATACTCTAGAGTCACGTCCGAAGGCACTTTTATTGCATGCAAGGAAAAATGTTAAAGAATAGGGGTTAGGCCAAGCAGTTACTCACAACTAACGGTTATCCTCCTCGACTACGCAAGAAAGACGACTCTGTGACGGATGCGTTCTGAAGTTTTCCTCAGTGTTAGATTTTACAGATGTCGCCTACAGATGTCAGCCTAGTCTCACCCCTACCCAATGTCATAACAGGAGGGCATTGTTGGATTCAAGAGAAAATAGAATTGAGATGATTATCACCAGAGACCTTACCTGACGGGTTTGCGGTAAGATCCAGCGGATAAACGGTCTAAACAGGTCCCTAGGGTCTTCCCGACCGCGGAAGTACGTCTCGTGCGCTAGTTTAAACACGCCTGTCAAACGGACTGAACCCGCTGACTACGGCAGAACGTGAAACACACAGACAGGCTTAACACTTAAACGCACACACACAGACACGTCCGTAGCCAGCTATTGTTAGGTTGACGTGCCTAATCCGGTTCGGTGTGCCGACGTCCCTGGAAGTCAAGTGATGATTGGTTGCACTCAGCGCGTGCGTGCGTGCGTGCGAGCACGTCCAACCAATCCGGACGCTCTGTGCTCTTTAGAGAGTTCTGGCTGTCCAGAGTTCGTTGGAAGCCCAATTCAAGCCGCTTCCTAGTTGGAGAAAGCCCTGGCTGTCATATTAAATTGTGCGAACGTTGGTGACAGTCAGCACAAGGTCAAATGAGTAATTCTGACTAAGGAATTTTCGAGGGGTTGAAAATTTGGAGTTCGCAAAGCGAGATTTTCTCAAAAAACTTGATGTGCAGTTGGTTCTCGTTTATTTGCTCTCTCGCTGCAAATGGCCGTGAAAACCTTGTGTCTAGCCAACGCACAATTATCATTCCCCGTCTCTCTATAACAGGCGACTAGCTATGGCTAACTAACCAAATGTTCTACTGCTTGCAAAAGGGCTGCTTGTTCAAACGAGGGCTATGACTGGTGCGCCTGCCTTTTGCATGGGTGAGGTCTTTATTCATCCGGTGTGAATAATTCAGACATTGAATGGTGTGCGTGCAGTTTACATAAACGGGCGTCTCGTGTTGCGCGCGGATCTCCCTCTTAAGCCTACCTCTCGCTGTTCAGGCGTTAAGTCTGTAGATTTTCAAGCATTATCTCTCTGATACCTATGAACTTCAAAGACTGCACAGTCTAAAATGACTATTACTGACTTAATTTTAACCATCGGTCAGCCATAACTCAGATCAGGCATGCCGAACTTGCAATAAACTGGTAGGACATTAGGCTTAGTACTGAATACGAGTCGGATTCGAAAGCCCCGTTCTTCCTGATCATTTCCCACAACGAATGTTTAACAGGCCTGCTGACAAGAAAAAAAGAAATTGGAATGGCCATTTCGGCCTTATTGGTGAACTCTTTACTCAGTCATACCCAACCGCAGTTTAGCACGACTTGGGATTCGAGCCCGAATTCCTAGGCCGATAAGCGTTTTTAGATCATTGCTCTACCACTGAGCCACGGAGCCCTTAACTGGGGGAGGGGGTAACGGGACAGGCATCAATGCTGTCCGCTATCCGGCCGCCCGTAGATGCCTGGTAGATGCGCTGGACCAGCACAGATCCTGACGGACGTTAATGGAATGCGCACCACGACAAATGTCAACATTTCGGGGTGCGGTTGCGAACCCAATTTTCGGCAGACGTCAACCAGGGCGTGTGTGGAGTGGAACGCCAAGATGAGGTCTCGACCGTGCCATCCACCTGCGCCCTTTCCCGCCTCCGGCTTTTTTGACTCCATCTTGACACGGGGTGAAAGTGGAGGAGAGAGTGCGGTAGATGTTGCGCAAGTCAGCTATCACTACCAACTAAGTCACGCGAAATTCACCGGTCCTGTTTCACCTCGTTGCGGAGTACACGATGGACATCTTCGACCACGACGGTTGAACTGTGGATTAAGTCACAAGGCCCAAAGGGACGAGCATGTTCCGTAACCTGATTGATGACCGGTACCTCGTACCGCCTAGCTCCGCTGCCATCCCCTAAACCCTGAAAAACGTGGGTGGTTGTCATCCTGGGACAGCGGCCAGCTGTTCCATGCATGGTTCACTGAAGGTGCATGCGCCTGGCTCTCAATCGTCTGTCCTAAATGTAAGGTCGTTTAACCCCAGTCCAGAGCCCTGATAATGAGTAGAATGGTGACGAAAAGTCAGCAATCGGGGAGATTGACTGGCGAGCATGTGGGAGACTGGAATGGCCATTTAGGAATTATATGCCATTATCCACCGGTCAGTATTCGATCCCGAGTATGCCGACAATCTGGCGGTTTGAAACCGGCTCTTTTGATTATAAGACAACCTACAGATCGGCGCGCTAGTATCTCAATGGCTGAGCGTTTGACGCTTAATGACCAAAGAGTCCTGCAACTCCTTGGCCCTGTTCGGGCATGACTGACGAATGACTGCAAGGACGTCGGAAACAGTGATTATCGTCTGTTTGAAATTTACCAGTAGCTCGCTCCCCAGTTTGAGTGCAAAACAAGCCAAGCCCTACACATCCGTCCCTCCTAGTTATGTGTTCCGTTTATTGTGGCGAAGATGCCATGTCTACGCTTTTTAACGAATCCTATATGGGTAGTGCATCTCAGTCGATTACTCGGCCTCTGGAGGGTAACGACCCTGGTTAAATGAAGGGCTGCCTCCAACACTTCTGGGGTTTAAGGATTGTGAGCTTCTGCTGCGCCATGATCAGCAAACCATGGCCCTCGCAGCTTTGTGCGCACCGGCAGTTCTCTAGCCCCTGGATCCCTGCCGGTAGATTCCCTAGCGCTCTCGCTGTGTATACGGGCTGTGTGCATGGTTACCCAGTAACTTGTGCCATCCCCGCCTCTTTCTGATGCAATTTTGCTGTCGGTCAATATTCTGGTCAAGTATTTGTTGTGAACCAGGGGGTGTGGAGGTGTGCCTAGGCGCGGGCTCGGTCACGCCAGCCACCTGAGCCCTCTTTCGCCGATGGTCATTTTGCCTATGTCTTAAAATCGGGCTCAAGTGGGGGAGGAGAGAGTGCGGTAGATGCTGCGCAAGTATACTCTAACAATAAACCAAATCACGCGCAAGTCACCGTGTCCGCTCCACCTTGATCATCGCCGGACGCGACGGCCGAACATTCAAGTTAACCCTAAAACCACAGTTTTAGTTATTTGCAGGGTTCGAACAATATTCAGCTTACTTGTTTCGCCACAAGACAAACAGCATAACAAGACGAGCGTGTCCCGTAACCTGACTGGTAAATGTACTTCTGGCATTTGTATGTATATAAACTGGAAAATAGGCACACTAAATCAGAAACCGTCTACAGCAACCTCAAATAAAAATAGAACAGTCGATAGCCAATCAGAACGTTATGCCAACTTGAAGAACTGACAGTGCAATATCGATTTTAGTAGGTTTATACCCTAAATATTGTGTACACTTGCTTCATATCTGAAGACGGCCTGTAGAATTAGAGTCAAAAATTTGCAAAATAAACTCTGTTGTCTTTTCCAGAGGACTTATTTCCTTCGATATAGCTACATACACAAAAGGCTACAAAATCTGGAAATTGCTAGGTGAAAGACATGGCATTTATTGTCTGAGACGAGAATTTGTTATCGACGAACACTTAAGTTGGTACAACCAACACTTCCAAATAACCATGTACCACCCATTCAACAAATAAGGCGTACTGCCGGCAGTACGGCAGACAGGTTCTGCGTCAGATGAGAAAAAGACGACGCATGTTACTGCATGCCCTGTTTGCACACCTCTTCTAGCTCGTGCGCTGGCAAAATGTCAATGTTATGGTATTATTCTGCGGCGTCATCTTATATCAGTGCCCATATTATTCTCTTCTTGACATGGGTCAGTGTTCAAAGGCTGTTTATTTCCGAATTATTTAAGTGAGACGTTCTCGTCAAAGCATCGGTGAAGGACTTTCAATTAAGCGTAGGAGAATGCCTCTCGCTTCGCAAGGATCTCCCATCGACGAGCGTGGAAACGCTCCCGGCTTGGATAATTTGGCAGGCAGTAAAGGCGTGCCACCTAGCGTCTGGCCCTCCAAATGTCATTCAAAGGCTGGCGCCCGGCCGAATCTGGGGCTACTAAAGTGGTCGCTAGAGTGCTGAGATTCGATTAATTCTCGTACCGGCCTGTTTCCCACGTGTTTATTAACCTGCATAGCGGCTATGGGCCTCCGCGCCTAACGGTGAGAGCGCACTCGGGAACGGCGTTGAGAGAAAAATTTTTTGGTAATTGCGCGGTAGTTGGTCAAAAAATCATGACAGTCAGTATAGCAAACAGATTCAAACATGTCCTTAGGCGGCAACGGGACATTGCGGGTTGCATCAGCATAGCGAAGACGAGGCGATTATTGATCCAATTGCATTAAAGTTTATAGTTTTTGAAGTTTTCCAATGGGGCTCCAGTCTAGACTGGTCGTAAGCTGCTGCGTAGAGAATGCTAGGATATATATATATATAATAGTGGTAGGGGGCGCTCACCGATCGTTCATACGGAACTCACTCGTTCCGTTGTGCCTTATGGACTCTCTCTCTCGAGCCCAAGCAGCAGCCGCACAGCAGCGCATGATATACGCAGAATGGCATTACCGACAAAGACAGCAGAGACTGGAATGGCCATTTCTGGCTTATTAGCCGTCGTCAGCCAGCCATACCTCAGCCCGAAGTGTGCAACACCCGAGTAGAGGCGTGGACTTCTAAACCAACAGGTCGCGAGTTCGAGGCTCGGGTGTTCCACACTTCGGGCTTGGGTATGGCTGGCTGACGACGGCTAATAAGCCAGAAATGGCCATTCCAGCCTCCCTTGTCTTTGTCGATAATACCATCCTGCCTATATATAATAGTAGAGGGACGATCATCGGTGATGTTTTTCAGAACTCACTCGCCCAGTTGTGTCTTGGAGCTCTTTTTCTCTCAAGCCCAACCAACAGCCGCACATCAGCGTATGATATACGTAGAATGGCATTACCGGCAAAGACAGCAGAGACTGGAATGGCCCTTTCTGCCATATTAGCCGTCGTCAGCCAGCCATAACAGATCCTGAAGTGCGGAACACCTTGAAACTTGCTTCGCAATGATCTCTCATCTGCGTGCTTCCAGGTGTCTGGTATTCTCGCGACTGTCCTTCTGACCTCATCGTACACTCCGGATCCTCTGTAAGAAGCAACGTCCTTGGCAGAGTAAGTATCACAGTCCAGATTTTGGGGTGCGAGTGTAAATATGCTCCTGACTTGTCTTCATCGACAGGGCGTAATGGCGGGTCATATAGTATCAATGACCCTTGAGGCTAACGCCTACTTTCACGTGAAAAATGCATGCATCTCCAGTTGCCAAAGTAGGCTCCCATTATCAGACGAAATAAACATTAAAGGTCGCACGTTTACACGCGTCGTGAATGCTAGTGGGAGTGCGTATGGAGAAAGCGGGCGAGGGCTAAAGGTGCAGACCAGGAGACGCAGGGGCAATGACGATTCAGTGTGCAGACAGTAGGCTGGCCACGGACCAACTTTCGTTATCATTTAGTTGTGTGTATCAGCAGTCGGCAAGAAGAAAGCGAAAACGAGTAGAGGTCGACAGGTGCGCAATTAACAATGGGCTATGGAGTAAACAGACGTCCGGATAGAGGCCAATTCCTGTTGCTCTTTTACGGTGACCGTGGAGGACCAACCAGGTCTGCTCACAAGTCTTCATGCTCAACGTTGCGATTCATGCCGCCTGCTTTGGAAAGCCAAACCTTGAGAAGTTCTCACGAGTGTCCGTTAGTGGCCATGGTGACAGCCTCAGTGGCTTCCCAGTGGGAAGGGCAAACTCGTGTACATGTGCGTGTGAGCAAAACTGATGACTGAGCGGATTGTGCTAATTTATGCGAGTTGCAACATGTCGACCAGAACGAACAAACTGTACGCAAAAACGAATTGCGCGTGGACGGCTGTATATAACTTTATTCCCCGCATTTCGGATGCGTTGGGTGATGGCGCTGTGAATAATCACGCTGTGATTTATTTGTTCCGCATAGTCCTCACCATATTGCATCTCTGAATTTCATTTCGTCGCTCGCCTGCATTTGTTAGATCGAAATAAACGGTCTACGGCCTTCAATCATCTCTCCAACAAACTATTCTTATAGAAGTTTTGAAGGAAGCGGTGTCAGAGGGCTGTTACTCGGCTGCTTTTCCGGGCTGAGGACAATGTCGGCACTAGAGTTGTTCCCACGTACACTGTTTTGAGACGTCCGTCGCCCTGTTTTAGCATGCGAGCACTTAGAAACGGGGAGCTGCCACCTTCACAAGTGACTCTTGTAAGCCGGATGACACTGTCCAACCCAGTTTCAGTCCAGTTTCTTTAAGCTTCTTACGCCTCTCCCCTACGCTTGTCAAGGGCTCTGACTATACTCAGCACCCAGTAGGGTATGACTCAACTTTTCTCAGCATCCGACGGACAAATGAGACACTATTTTCAGACACTATTTACAAACACTAACTTAAATACTGACCAAAAAGTACTACCCTTGCTACCCTTGACCTCAAGATAGACCTCAAATGTTCAAACATGTTGCACACTTTCTAGTACGTGTTTTGTGGGAAGAGGTCAGCGCAGAGGGATTCTGTTCTCTATTGAGGGCTAGCAAAGTAACTGTCGCTCAAACTTATGTTTCAACATCTGTGGTGTTGAGCCAGAGCATAATTAAGACTTTTACTTGATATTCCAAGAGTGTCGTGACAGTGTGCTAGACCAACACAGGGACTAGATCGTTGTCCGACAGGCATTATCGACAATGCAGTCCCTTATAAAATGCCAACGTTGGGGTGTGATGGCGCGAAGAGTTGCCGGTCTACTCTGCGCCAGCTGAGATCCGCGCCACTAGCTCGCCTTACTTGTGTTGTGGCATAAAATCCTAGTCGGTGCATGTTGTGGACCAGGAGGTATGGCGGTACGCCTAGGTGCGGGGTTTCTCAGTGCTAACCACCTGCGCCCTCTCCCGCCTTCGGCCTTCTTGGCTCTGTCATCACTCCGGATTCAGGTGGGAGAGGAGGAGGGAGCGCGGTAGATGCGGCACAAACCGATCATCATCATAAACTTAATCGTGCGCAAGTCAATGTGCGAATGAAGGCGAAATTTCGAGTTCCAGGTGTATACATATTTGAAGAAGAAGAAGAGTCGAGCACCGGAACAATTCGTTTATTATCCTGAGCTTTCAGACTCGTACAGGAGTCCATCGTGAGAGGTAGTGGCAAAAACAGGACAAGCGGCAGTTATAAGGCACGTAGACCCAATCATCGACCGACGTCGCACGACTGGGGGTGACTACGAAGGGCTCTGTACGCCGGCGCCAGATCGATAAATCGATTGACCGAGTTCACATCCGAGGCCCAGTCAATGTGCCTGCGCCACCATGCTGTGGGGCGCGCGGTGGACGGTTAAGGTGTTTACGTTCGAACAAGATACGCACGTTCGTGGGGTCAGCCACTGCCATCAACAATCGACCGTTATCTGTTTTTTGTCTTGTCTGTAGCACTCATTTTCGTTCATTGTGGGGCCGTGAAGCGAATAAAAGAGCTGGAAAGTGTAGGATCATTGTCAAAATCACGATTAAGGTTTAATATCAGGGGCTTTTGCTCGACTTCTTGCTTACAAAAGTTCATATTTCACGCATAACTTCGTTTCCCCGCACTCCCAACCTTGGAATACTGTGCCCAACTGATCAGACGGGTCACACATGCTTAAAACACTCACCCTTCTTCGGTAAATATTAGTCTTTACAACCTTAAATACATATATACAGCGCATGTATACTACAGACTGTCTGATGATTGTTATTCACAGCATCATGTAGTTTTTATTACAAAATCGTGTTACTGCGATATGTTGCAAACTTTTATATAAGTAATTATTTGTCATTTGTTGTTTTTGTTCTCTGTATATTGCAGGACACTAGGATAACTTGCTGAATACGAAAACCCGCAGGTAGCATTTGTTGTTAATTATGCTTATAAGAAGAATAAGGCCTTGAACGAAACGTATTTAAGTCAAGAAAAATGTCTGGAAATTCAAATGATTTCCACAGCTCTGGAGTTAACCACGTTACTTCCCAATTAGTTCTTGAGATGTTAGAGTGCGTAACTGGGAAAACGTCGACAAACAAAGAAACAAAATACTTTCCCGAGATTTCAAACAGTCATACTTCCGCTAGTTCAAATTTTCAGAATATGCCCAGGGTAAAAATATAGGATTACACATTAAAAAACTTGTTCAGGTCCGCTTATTCTATATAAATCTGCAGGAAACAGCTTAACGTTTTAAAAAGTATATTGATAACTGCTTGAAAACCCAAGATATCTATTGTGCACGCCTAACACAACGTTGAGTGTGATGTGAGATATGCACGCTTTAAAAAACACAAGTAAAACTGCGTATTCTGTGCTTATTTCGGAGGTTCGAGCGTCTTTTTAGAATATGAGGTAGGAGTGCCAAAATTTCCGATTTAATAAATTTTCCACGTTTCAGGCCCCTTATTCATTATACAGATTAACGGATCGCGGTTGCCTGTTTTTCCTAATGTTCCCTATTAAAAAGCTCCAGCAAGTCTGAAATATTGGGGGCGACGTTTTGAACTATCTTGGGATCCTCCTTTTCAAATAATTGTGCAGAATTATTCATGATTAGTGAAAACGTTAGTTTTCGAATCGTAGATGACTTTTCAAAGTTGTTATAGATAATGTAGTCCCAGTTAGTTCTTTCTAAATACAATAGACGACTAAGTACAGGCCTTTCAAGATACATGCTGCATAATGGACTTCCAAAAAAGTCAACTGCGCCTGTCTTTAGTCCCCATTCACAAAAGCCTTTTTCCGCGTAAGTAAATTCCTCCGACATAAAAACATGCTGGATCCTTATAACGATTTTTAACGAACATTTATCGCTTTTGATTCGCGTTTCTGACCCTTTTGAAACATTGCAGAAATGGTAAACAAATCCTTTCTAATTGAAAGCACATTTAGATCAGGAGCTTAATATACGTTAGCATTCTTCTAAGGTCCACCATATATCTCCTTGTGAAATCGATTTTTGGACGTTGCAGGGTTTCCATGAGGTGGCGGGCATACAAAGGAACAAACAGTTAAATAATATTTCGTTTTGATCTCAATTTGCCTATTGATAGTGGCCATCGAATAAAGATTGTATCACTGGCTTTTATAAAAATTCCGGAGCTAGTATATTTACGTGCGCAACAGTTTATGCCTTTCTGCTTTGAGTAGTGGATTGTCAACTTCGGCGTCCATTGAAGAGTAGTCACTTGCCTTGCGTGAGGGCCGACTTTGCGTAGGCCGCTTACAATCAATATCTTAAGAAAAAACATGGCTCCTCATAGCAGTCTGCGGGAATAAGTCTTCTTCAGCAGGTCTGTTTCAATGCGTGTGATCTGGAGCTTGTCAGTGAACAGCTGTCAGGGCCCAAATTGAATGACTCTGGGAAGAAAATTGCTAGAAAAATCTTTAATTTTGGGCGTTGGAGACCGTTTTGCAATATTTTGCGCAACGTGCTATACCGGACTAGTTTTTTGTCACTTTTGGCCCAAAGTTAATAGACCGGAGATGTCATTAAAGTTTGCCACAGGAATTATCCTTCTCAAAGAGTAAAGCCCGTCGATACAGTAAAATCGCCCCCGGAGCACGGAGTTATAGCAACCTCGTAGACAGGTTCGGCAAAGCGTTTCCAGTCTATCATTCGCTGTAAATCACGCAAGATCGGGTCAGCCGATTCGACCTCATTTTCGGGCTTTTCCCCGTTTTCCCTAGCCAGAAAATGTCCAAGGTAATATCTGCAAGCGGAAGAAAAAATACGTAAACAAAACAAGCGCATGGGCCTAAGAGAGCGTCTGACAGGCTGACAAAGGCCTTTATACGCCGCTGTCAACAGCCTATCATCTTTTGCGCTCTTGTTATTTGCCTGTTCGTTTCGGCAGACTGGCAGGCAAATGACATGTCGTTGTGTACTCCCATAGATTCAGGATTTGGTAGCTCCAGAAGGTCAAACAGACCGAGTTACTCCTATTTCTGTTTGACTTGTGATCTACTCTTTAAATCACTTAAAGTCCTTGCTTATGCCTTTCCAGGC